AGAGTAGCCATGAAACAGCCAAATAGATACACACAGGACACAGAGAGTGGGAACCAAATGACTTTATACAGGGCATTATGGGTAAAAACAAAATGGCTGGACAGACACATTACAGGATCCACTCAGTGTGACACATTTAAGTTATTGGTTCACAGGGCATTATGGGTAGCCATTAAACACCTAGACACATGCACACATGACTTGAGGACTGGGACCCAAGTATATTGTATTCAAGGCCATCAGAAAATGGTAGTAATGAAACAGCTAGGCAGATACATGTAACAGAACAACTGAAGATACAATATTTTATGTGGTTTTTGGTTGTTTTTCTGTTTGCTAGGATACAACATTCTATATTTAGAACATTTTGCTGTGACTGTTGGTTTAGGTGTTGTATACCAATAGATGATGGCCAGATTTATTACGTTGAGGGCGCCCTTACAAATTAACTCTGGTCCCTGGCATTACATGATGGCCGACCACAGTCGATGAACAAAATATCAAGTGACATACAAAATTCATCTCAACTTGTAAATTATCTTAGATATGTTGACTCATCTTGATACACATGTCAGTCATTTGACTTTATCATAAAGGGATTATAGTTTGTTAGAGGGCACACTGGTCACAGCTGAAGTTGAGATTCATGAATGATATGCACAGAGACATTATTACAAGTCGTTGCATGCAAAGGTTAAAGATCAAATAACTCTTTAAAATACAAGGATGTCAGTAATGTTTGAATATCACCATAAAATAATTTAATATGCTGACTAGCCTGGGTGGCAGTGAACAATACTTGTTGATGTTATAGTTTTACCATAGAGTTGAATTTCTGCAAAAGGAAATCTTCGAAGGTAGTCATGGAAACCTCAGAAACACAAAAAAAAATGAAACTTTCATCCTAACCCATGACCAATTTCTGTTTCCAGCAATTTCACGCAATTTTACACTTAATAGACTGTTTCGCTGCGAGATCCAGTGTTATGCGTGAAATCGACAAACAAAGGTCATAGCGTCGTAAACATCACATGGGATTCAACAAGCACAAAACATTTTTAGGAGTATTTCCTTGATGTGCTATACACATTTGATGATGGTCAATTTTGATGAAATATATCAACACGATATTCCCACGTAAAATTATAAAAGAGAGTTCCGGTAATTCAAAATCAAATTATTCAATCTGCATCTTTCATACACTAAGCGATATCTAAGTGATTGTTTACAAATTGTGCTGATAAACTTTAAACGCAAAAGGCTGAGCAGGATGAGAACGAAAGAGCAGTGAGACTTGTTTTTGTCCTTCAAATACTGTTCCATTCACATTCGTCATCACGTCCAGTGCTCCAAATACCTTGGTTAGGGAGACAGTGGATGCGATGACTAGAGAAAATTAAAGATTATTTGAGGTGAAAGAACAAGTCTTGTACTGTAACTCTCTCGTTTGTTTTCAGTTTTGCCTAAAACTAGGTAAATTTTCACTATGTAGGGGCTCTTAAATCAAAACAGCTGAACCCTAACTTTTTTTGAGAGCTATTGAATAAATTCAAAAATGTTAAAAATTTCTAGGTTTATTCATGTTAATTTTTGTTAAGAAACTCAATAAATTGAACATTAGGCTGTAAAATTCAAAGGTGTTACAGGCTCTTGGAGACCCATTAATCTTTAGTACAAACCGCTTAATCAAAGATAATTCCCTGAATTATGGACACGTTCTAAACTTACTATGAAAATCTCTCTGAACTACAAACATCATACTGTATTTCACATATTCAATTAGTCAAATAGCTTGTGTAATTAAAATTAATGCTTCTCAAAATCACTTGAAACTACATGTATTCTTATCTTCGTTATTTAACCCGCACACAGCTGGATGTATCCTGACTAACATCTCTAATTTTGCTTTCTCGCATTTTCAACATTTTTGGATCTTTTCTTGTCCAATATATCGGTATGTGCATGTGACCTCTGCTCTGTCCCAAGCATGAACCTCTGGGGTGGTTTTAAGATGCTAAATGATGACGTAAAAATGTATTATCTTTCGCCAGTTTAATTTCTCTCTTTTCAACTTTCATAAATGGATTTTTTGAAAACAAAAATAGTTAAATTAAATCCAAATAGTAAATATTTTTTTCACAATATGTAATAAATCATTGTTTTTTTTAGGTACAGATGATATTTATTTTTTTTGTAAATGTATGTTTTGATGATGTTGTGATGGAAAATATGTCTGTGTTTACTGATGATCCCAAAGGCAAAGATAAATCCAAACAATATATACTGGGTATTACATTGGGAATAGATACAATATCTTGTACAAATGTAAAATATGTAGTCAGTTGGTATTCTGAGCTTCATTGCAAGCGCCCATGCTCGGTGACCTCACCAGCTTGCTCTGTGGCATCACAAATTTGTGCAATAAAATTTCATTTACTAAGCAACTTTTTCATTATTTTGAAAACTAAATATTTAACTTGCTTACTCAAGAAAATAAAAGTTTGCTCTATTTAAAGTGCAACTCAAATGAAATTCCATATAAATTAACACTATTTTGGACAATAAACATTTGTAATTTATGCAAACACATACACTACTAATGGAATAAATACGGTACATGTAAATCATTAAACCCAGAACAAAATATTCAGGTTTCTAGTCACCATGTGCATGTAACTGTAATTTTTATTTTTTTTCAAAATGTTTGAAAAAAAGAAAATGCTATTTTCTTGAAAAATAAAGCATGCTTTTCAAGACAATTTTAAAATAAAGAAAAATAAAACTTGGATTTTAGAGAAGAAAAAACTTGTTTTTTGCTTGGTTTTATCATTTCTTTTTGCTGTGTCAGTTTCATTCATTGTTACTGTAAAATACTATATTTTTGCTTGAAATTAATGTTTCAGATTCAGTGAAAATAAAATCTAGTGAATATAACTTTTTCCTATATTTCACATTCAACTCATCAAATATCAGTGAAAATAAATTCCATACAAAACACCCAGAAAAGCCTTTTCAGCGAAAATTAATTCCAGCTAAAATAAAGTATTTAACAGTAAATTAAAAGTTCTTAACATCCTCAGTTTTGATTTGATACTAGTGTGTCCCTAGTGTCTTTTCCAGTTAGGTTTTATGACGTGATAAAGTTTGGGGTTTAGTACCTCAAACTTAGAACGTGCGAGTCTCATTGTTTAAGTATTATTGCTAAGAAGAATTCTACATCCTATTTCAAAACCATGGTATTATTTGCAACAAAGTTTTATTAGACAACCCATTGGGAGATGGCATTGGAAAACCCCTGAGTCTGACTGGCTGCTATTCTAGTAATAGTAACTGATTGGTCTTGTTGCCATATATGGGCATAGACTGTATCTATTTATAGCAACTAGCAAAGAGTTGCCATCACCATGGAATTCTCACTGTTATCATAGCATGTACTCTATGTCAACACAAAAAGAATTCATTTCTAACTAATTAAACTTGCATGGTAAAAAAAAACAAATTGATTTTATCCTCCATGGAGAAAAAAACAATTCCCACATATTTCAATAAATACTTAACCTTTCCACCACCAGACTTTCTCTGCCAAATTATTCTGCGCTTTTTTCTTATATTCTTCAATATTTATAGAAATGAATCCTAATTTTGGAACCAAAAAAAAAATATATGAGTAAATTTTTAGTTTACACTCAAAAATTTTGCTATTTTCGTTCCAAATTTGTGAATTTGTGATAAAAAAAAAACTGCTGGGAAAAAGGTTAAGGGTCAGGGCAGCAATTATATTGCTTTATTTGTCCATGTTTTTAATCTGAGTCAGACAAAATAATTCTGTGTCATTTGAATTGGTGTAATTATCCCATACGGAAAAATGTAAATAAAAAGCAGACTACAGTAATCCTCTTAAGAAACTTATAACTATGATTGCAATTCTGTGTCACATAACGGTCATTTCAAACTTTGCAAAATTTGATCTCATACTGGTATTGCAGCTTTTGTGAAAAAAAAAATGTTTTCTCTGACAATAATAAAGCATATATTCTATTTACTATTTTTTAGCTGAAAAATACAATAAAACCTCTATAAACGGAGATGACCGTCCATTTTTAATTGCAATGTTTAATGTTTTACAAAGGCAGATATCTTTGGGAGTTTGACTAATCATGTCTATGCTGCTTACTGTATGTCAGTAACATTCCTTGTTACCCTAACAACAGTGGTTGCTAGGGTTTGGAATTGTTCTCATTTTGTAGGAGTTAAATACTACCTAGTTTTAGAAAACAGATATTTGTATTAAATTTCCAGAATTCTCTATACATAGAACGTACGAGTTATACATAGTGTTGTCTTATGGGTAGACTATTTGTAGTTGTCTGGGAAGGTTTGAGGAAATTATTCTCAGACTGATTATTTATGGATTATGAAACTAAGTATATTTTGTTCCAAAAAACTGAAAAAGGATACTGATTGGGTAACTGAAAAAAAAAATGCTGACCACTCTCAATGACCCTCTTTAGTTTTCAAATGGTCTTTGTAGATGATATAAATGTATTACTGCATTATTTGGTAGTACCTTTTTAAATGGGCTTTAGCTGCATTTTGGGGGAAATTTTTAATTTTTGTTAATCTATGCAATACAGAACTAGCATTATCGTTGTGGTTGTAAATAAGTATGTCAAACGGCATGTATTGAATAAAATTAAATTTCCAATTTGATTTTGAAGGACACATTGAATAATTGCATATAATAAATGAAAAAAAATGAATCATTAGTGAGAAAAAAGGAATTATAATATTTCAAAGAATGTGTTCGTGTATATACAATTTATATTAGTATTGATGGTGTAGAGCAATTCAACATGTATTTTCAGTTAAAAATGAATGAAAACAATTGGCAAGATTTCAAAACCGGTTGCATTCTTTAAATTTTGCTGAAGAAGGGTTTTATCAAATTACTAAAAAGGGGCAAATAATTAAAGGGCAAGCGGCAAATACCCACTGACGGGATATCTAAATTTATTTCCATGGAAACAATCGCTTTATGATTTCCCCTCCTGTGCACATGCTGGAATTAAGTCTCAATCAATGATAACAACACACGCTAAAAATGCAAAGGCTCATGAGTAGATGCTGGTTTGTAAGCAACAACCTACTATGACCATCTGACACATGCGCAGGTGACGACTCACCCGCTTCGAACCATCCTCTGGCAGCCATTTTAAATTAACAATTGGTCAAAATACAGACTTCCATAATTAAAAACTACAATTTTTTTTGTTTTTCATCAAATAATAATTCAGTAAAACTTCAAAAAGTTCTGTTGTCATATGTGTCAACTGTACCCATCTTTTTTAAAATTACCCCCAGGTTGTATGTAAGAAGTCAGTTGGATACAACATATTGAAAAAATCAATTGTGTGTCAACAGTTTCTGGTTTTAATTTAGTGGCATCTACAGACTCATACCCTTGTGATATGCAATGTAAATAGACCAAGACTAAAAGTCTAGGTGGGATTCTATAAACAGCTTTGGATGTAGGAATGCTTTAATAGTAATCTCTAGGAATTTGACAGGATATTAGACTGCAGAGCTTTGCATGTTGTAGTGTTTTTATGTGGTAATGGGAGAGGTGAAGTGAGGTGAATTCCAGTCTAGTATTGGAGCTGGTCAAGTTTGTGCCTGATCCAAGGCACATTGTAGAATAGAATAGAATAGAATAGAATAGAATAGAATAGAATAATAGAATAGAATAGAATAGAATAGAATAGAATAGAATAGAATAGAATAGAATAGAATAGAATAGAATAGAATAGAATAGAATAGAATAGAATAGCACAGATGGAATAGAATAGAACAGATGGAATAGAATAGAACAGATGGAATAGAATACAACATATGGAATAGAATAGAATAGAATAGAATAGAATAGAATAGAATAGAATAGAATAGAATAGAATAGAATAGAATAGCACAGATGGAATAGAATAGAACAGATGGAATAGAATAGAACAGATGGAATAGAATACAACATATGGAATAGAATAGAACAGATAGAATAGAGTAGAATACAATACTAGTATG